ACAGGCTGAATCCTTGGCTTTTTGGATGATTCTGTATGGCAACATGATATTTAGCAAAGTCAAAAACAGTTCAGATTGGTGATATTATAACACATAAAAGCCAGGAAGCTTTCATAGGTAAAGGCTATTTCATAACCTTTTTCATTTCAAAAGAAAACTTCCAAGACCTACCAATTACATCACATTTCTCCAACCTGGGTGTTAGAAAATTCCCAGAATTCTCAGCAGTAAACATGATATATGGGGAATTCGGGGAACTGAAACCCACATATAAGGAAGGTATTAGATTCTTGGGCTGAGGAAAAAAATGCCTCTGGGGCCTGAATATGTTACCTATTTAAAGTGTTATGAGAAGGCATACTTCAACACCAATTTCTAAAATTGAGATATAAAACCCTCTGAGCCTACAAAACTCAATATCAATTCTGCCCTCAATCTCTACTTACAATAATTAATTTAATTGTTTTATATCCAATTCTGCTTTTACTCCATCAGTTTACACTTCCTTTGCCTATTTTCCCAACAGCAGTCCAATGGAGACAGCTGGAATGACGGGCAATAAATGGCACAAAGCCAACCAGTGAGCTTTCACGCCTGGGGTCAGACACAAGCCTGGGCCTCTTCTTACTTTAACACCTTTCCTGGCTCTTTTACAATATGAATTTCTCTGTATATATAATTTAAGCTAATTATTATGTTACACATGCTTATTTAGAAATAGGTGTTACTTATTCAGTGGGGCTTATTCCTATGTACATTGGCATAGGATTGCATCCTTAATAGCATTTTCAGGACACATTTATAGGATAAGACAGCTTATAGTGATATTACAGATGGACACATCAAATTAAAAAAAACAGAAATGTATTCTTCATTCATGATTAAATGTCAATAACACAAATGCCCTGTTTATGTTTTATCGTTGTTACAAAAATGAATAATGTACCCAGAGAGAGAGAGAGAGAGAAGATTCAAAAATGTTCTAATTATTAATAAGTCTGCTAACTAAATAGGGGCCAAGAAGTGTAGCTCCAGATATCCTATGAGACACTGATTAATAAAAAAAATTATTAAGTATAAGTATAAGTATAAAAGAGGAAGTACTGTAATGTCAACTACTAAATATTTAAACATCTATTTAAATATTCTCACTTTTAGACAAATCTAAAATGAGGTACTGCTGGTATATGATACCAGATCCATAATGTATAAAGATACCTGGTTTGTGTGGGAAATGTGAAAAACACAAAGGGTTATTTTACCATGCATAATGGACTTGTAATAGAAAATTTTGGGTACAAATACATACAATAATGCAAAGAATTTTAAAGATTAATATATAGGAAACCTGATTTTTTTTTAATGTACGACTTGAAGAAACTTGTTTTCTTTATATATGGTAACAGCAGAAAGACTACTATATGCACAAAGACAGAAAGATTCTGAAATACTCATAACAGAGCAATGATTGGTAAAGATGGCAAAACTTGCAAAAATGCAATACTGACTTGTTTGATTAGGAAGAAGACAAATACATTTATTAGTGACTGGAAACCTTTATGGACTTTTTGCTGAAAATGGAAAAAAATGAATGAATGATTTATGGATTTGATAATTAGAAAGAGAAAAATATGGGAAGAAGGGAATTATGATGTAATTATAAAGAGGAAGGATAGATGAAAAATTTGTAACTGCTGTAAAGTAAGTTGGAAGCCAAACCTTGATGTGTTTTTTTCAATTTCTTTTCTTTCCTTATTTATGTCTTGTACTTATTCACTTGCTCTGCTTTCTTTATTCTTTTTCTTTTCAATTATATAATATCTTGATTTTTATTAGCGTATAAAATCTCTTAATAAAGATAAAAAAGAAAAGATATTGTTTTAATTTGGAGTGCATTTGCAAATAGAATATATATATTTTAAAATGCATTGGGTGTCCTTATTTTTAGTTTGGTTGGTTGTAGCTTCTTTTTATAAAAAAATGATTCTATTTGTTAGCATTTGTATCTCTAGATAACTGGTATCCATTTGCATTGACAATATGATTACAAGCCTTACCTTAATATGTTAGTGTATAATTATTAGCATTATTCACATATTGGCTTGCTACATGTAGTCCTCAACTTATGACCACAATTGAGCGCAAAATTTATGTTGCTAAGTGAGAAATGTGTTAAGTAAGTTTTGCCCCATTTGTTAAGTGAATCAGTGCTGTTGTTAAAATAGTTACATGGTTGTTAAGTGAAACTAGTTCCCCCCTTGACTTTGCTTGTCAAAAGGTTGCAAAAGGTAATCACATGACCCCGGGACACTGCAATCGTCATAAATGTGAATCAGTTGTCAAGCATCCAAATGTAAACCATGTGACCATGAGGATGCTGCAATGGTCATAAGAAAAATGGTCATAAATCACATTGTAACTTTGAACGTCACTAAGCGAACTGCTGTAAGTCGAGGAATACTTGTATTCAGGATGTTAGCATTTTATATTTTTATTGAACTTCAGTATCACTAGTCCCCTCCCCATCCATATCCCTATTCTGAGAAAATACTTCATGTTTGCTGACTCTTTTTTTCAAAGGTGAAACTGTTTTTTTCAAAGGTGAAACTGTTTATTTTCCACCCTAATACTATAGACTCCCTATGTGGATGTAAGGACCAAAATTTTCAGGGCTGTAAAAAGTCAGAACTGAGTAATATACTGTATGTCTATTACAGCATATAACTTTCTTGTGAAGTGATTCTCCTCTTCTTACACTGAGAAAAGACCAAGTACTCTACCTATATTGCCTCCTTAAGTCCAGGTAAAGACAAAGTATCTGTTTAAAATTTTAGATGGGAGATAGCTTGTTTGCCTCCCAAAACTATAGTCATTTTCAAGCAGATTGTTAATATCTGGCTTCATGGTAGTGTCTGGAAGACTTTTTATAATAAAACCACTAGGAACTACATGAATTTTAAGGCTATATATTTATGATAGTATACACGGACAATCTAGTTGATCAGATTACATTAAAAATTATTGCAACGGCAAAATAAGATTGTCCTTGAGTTATTCTTTCAAGGGACTCTGTTCAATCCTATCTAGTTCCTCTATCCAGGAAGCTGCTTTAATAAAGATTAGCTCCTAGGTGTCTCTAGCTCAGAGGTGTCAAACTCACGGCCCGGCAGGCCAGATGCGTCATGTGCTGCCTACTCCCACCCCCATTTTAGTGAAGGGAGAAAAAAGTCACAATACGTCACGTGATAATAACGTGACGATGCGAGCTTGACACCCCTGCTCTAGCTGCCATGAAAATTCTCTCTCCTTTGCTGCTCACAGTTTGCATCAGTCCTGGCAATAGAAAGAAAGCTCACCTCTCCTGTTCTAGATCAGTCCCAACAATGAAATTTAGCCCTCAGTACCTGTGGACTGCTCGGTGCAAACCCTCAATATCCCAGGAACAATATTTTAAGCAATGATAACATATGCCTAGACAACTTAAAGATCAGAAGTAAAACAAGGAACAAAAAATGTTAGAGCCGCTTATCCAATATTTTAAAGACATTTCTAGAAATAGAGAACACTAATGGGTTAAGCCACTTCTAGCCACCTCCCTCCAATCTATTGCTGAGTCGTAAAATAGCAAATGAAATGGCTTGGGATTCTGCTGTGGGTGATGGCAGCCCTACCTCTATTCTGCTCGTAAGGTGGGTGAAGAGTCACCCAGAATGAGAGATGGTACATATAGTACAGCCTCTGAACTTCCTTACTTGTTTCCGAAGACTGAAGACCGGATGCATCAAACCACACCGTACAAAAGTTTTCCTTGGTTTGTTTCTCCTGTAGCTCTAGCAACGGAAGCTGTCTTTCCACAACAAGCCTGGCTGTCTTCATTTTGAATGGCAATTCACAGGAACCAGCCCCTCCCCACCATTTCCAGTCCATCAGCCAATAAACCAAGACTCAGCTTTAACCAATCAGTTTTCAAAGCATCTGTTCCAAGCTTAAAATAGATCAGAAAGATTGTTCGTTTCCAAAGCAAAACAAATGGGAGACAGCAACTAATATATGATGATTGAAATATTTTCCACCACAACAAAAGTCACATGATGGACAGGAAGTCCTGTACATGTATCTCAATAGTTAAAGAAGATGGACTCCATTCCCAACTGTGTTGTCTAGGAATTATGGGAGTTTATATCCAACCCATCTACTGGTCATGTTTTGGGGGGAAATGGCATAAATAAGATACAGAGATTCCTAATTTAAGCTTAGAATAACTTTGACTAATCAGAGATCTCAAAGCAAAGAGGCTCCTTAACGGAGAAATAAGAAAGAGCTAGCCTGAAGTAGATAATGTACATTAATTGAAGGAGAAGAAGCAGGTGAATCAGGTAAAAAAAAAAATGTCTATGTATTACACATAAAGGGACACATTCAAAAAGAAGTATGAACACTTAGTGATATATATGAAATTAAATAAATATTATATATCGGATTGGATGGTAGGATCAATAGTCAAATTAAAAAAATCTGAATGCTGATACAACTCTCAATCCCTTTGACATTAAAACTGCATACCATTCATCAATTTCCCTCCAGATATGCCAAAATTGCAAGACGCATATTTACCACGAGCTCCACTACTCTGTTTGCTAAGCATTTGAAGGGACCATGTTGGGGAAGGCCTCCTACAAAGAACTTTTAAACAGGAACTCAAACGTGTTCTTTGATTCCTAAATGACTCCCAATGGGACCAACTTCTTCCAGGAATCACTGGATCTGTGCCCAGTAGATCCTTGGGGCATGCTTCACATTTGGCAGACCAGATCTAATCATGCTCACCCCAGGAAATCACCCCTGTTCCTGATCAACTCCCACTGAGAAGTTTGGGGGAAAAAAACCTACTCGAGGTTTGTAGAGAGTCTTGATGGCCCAGGAAGTGACTAGTCCAGTGGGTGAAAAACGTGTTCCAGCACAGCAACAGTAGCAACAGCTCACTTGCTTGGTGTGCTTACCTCCATTTTGTTCTCCGGTTCTGGAACCAGGTCTTGACTTGGGCATCAGTCATTTTCAGAGCCTTGGCTAAAGCCGCCCTCTCAGCTGAGGCCAGGTACTTCTGTCGGTGGAAGCGCTTTTCCAGTTCACAGATCTGCAGACGGGTGAAAGAGGTGCGTGGTTTCTTCTTCTTGGGGGGCGTCCGGTTCTGGTAGGGGTGACCTATACGGCGTGTTACAGTGAACGGTGAGAGGGCCACTGGAGGGGGAGACAGGGCGGGCGGGGGGGCAAAGAAGCAAGCGGTGACATGATCAGGAAGGACTCCACAGAGCAGCGGCAGAGGAGAGACAGAAAGACAGACACCAAGAGTCAAACAGAGAAGTAGGAAGGCACAGAGAAGGCTTGGTCACAGGGCTCACAATCTCCTCCTTGCTTTTCCAAGCACAAACCTCTCTTTTAGAACCCACCAATATTTCTTTATTCATGGGCTGCTGTGGAGGAGCTTTCCCATGTCCCCAGGTGGATCCCAATATGGAGGCACCAGACTCTCTGCAAGAAGTGAGCTCTGTGGCAGAGGAGCACATGAAGGGTATATACAAAGCAGGCAGGGGGCAGGAATGGGGAGGGGAGAAATCCTTGTTTGGAGCGCCAAATCTACCTTGCAAGCTAGGAGCAGAGCAATTTAAAACTGTGTACATGTAGAGCCCAATCATTTGAATGTTATCTGGGAGAAAATACGTAAAAATAAAGGTTCAGACTTCTGCAGCCTGAATAAGAGCATTATTGAGCTGCTGTTATTTAAGACTTTGGAACAAAAGAGAGCTTGAAAACCTTCCCTATAAAAAATCCAAATCTGGGATTCCAGTTCACCCCACTTTTCATTGTTTTGACAACCTTTTTAAAATGATGATTATTCATATCCTTAATAGTTATGTAATCATCAAAGTACACTTTCATTTTTCATTTTTATGTGTTTTTATTTTGTTGAAGATCGTTTTTACTGAAGTCCATAACCCTGGGCAAAGTTCTTACTCTCAGAAAAATCCACAGGAGTTAACTCAAAATAAACCTAATTAAACAGGCAGTTCTTTCTGAAGTTTGAGCCACTCTCTCTGGATAAAAGATGTGTATTATATAGACTGTAAACAATAACCTTCATATGAACGAAAAAAGCTTTTTAAATATTGGGATAATGTCTAAGTAAATATGCATTGGGCTGACTCCGATGCTAAAGATGAGTCCAGTTTGTTCAGAATTAAGTGCCCCTGAACTCAATGGAACTAACTCTGTAAGTCACATAATTCGGCTTGCAATTATAGTGAGCACAATTATTTGTAAATGTGTATGGAAGTGGGATGCATCTTTCCGTCTCATTATCAAAATCTGCTTTTGATATTTGATTTATTCATAAATGTTCATGCAATTACCAATTGAAATAATGCTTATGTGAATATATATTTTGCTATTTTGTTTATAACCTTAAATATATTTGCCTCCCAACTTCACTCACTTGAACACATTCCCAAGAAATGTCAAATGTAAATCATAAAACTAAGGAAAATGTTTTAACTCATAAAGCTAAGAAAAGTGTTATTGAAGGAAGCAGGAAGTGAAAGCAGCAGCACAGGAATGCTTTCCAAGAATTATTCTAGACATAATTACTCTGAGTTACTTTGACATTCTTTGGAATTCCTTCATTTATGGCTTTAATTTTAAATCTAGGAAATGTGACTTGTTATAAATTTTGTAGCATTGTTGGACTGAAACTATCAGGATAATTGTAGTGTCCACTACAATTGTAGTGTTTTGTTTTAGTTAGATGGCTTTACATAATTATTCTGCACGTGAGCAATTAAAGAAGGCTCCTTTTAAATTTCTCTAAGAATATATTTCACTTGTGACAGCTGTAATTAACAAACCTATTTTCCAAAATCTTCCTAACTTAAGTAGATGTTTACAGTTCTATTACTGACACCAAAATCACCAACAACAGCAACAAAAAGAACTCTGATTTAAGACTCTCTTGCAGGGATTTTATTTTGGTCCATTTATTTTGTCAAAGGGGGGGGGGGGCGTTATCTACCTGTACCCTCTTCCCCTCTCTCTAAAGCTGAGCATTTTCTGGAAAGATACTAACCAGATGCCAGAGAGACATAGAAAAGTGTACCTGGGAACTCCGGGAAGAAATAGAAGGAAGCTGACAATAGTATTTAAAATAGAATATCACTGCAATCTATCTCCAACTCTCCTAGATACCTGATTTTGTTTGTATCTCGTTTAGTGGCAGCAAATCCATTTAAGAACACAGCAAATAATCCCAAAACTGAAATTGGCGACTTTTGGTTAATTTACCAGCAACATCCGGTTATCTCACCTGAGAGCTCTCTGAGTTCGCCTGATCTGGGTATTGTCCTCTCCTGTAAAGTTCAGCAGTTTCCCGAACCGAACAAGGAACGGAGGGAAATTCTACGAACCTTGTTCGGCGGTGCCGAGGCTGATTTTGCCACAAATAGCTCTAAACAGCTCCGCACAGCCTTCGCTCTCCCCACGCCAATATGGTTCGCATTTCCCCAGCAGAGGCCCTCGGCGGAAGGGCGGCGGGGGAAAAAAAAAAGAAGGCCAAGGTTAGGCCTCTGTAGCAAGAACAAAATCTCTTCTTTCCGAAGAACGAACCACAAATTCTCTTATATATAATATATATAAAGCCCGAGGAGGACGGGCCGGAGGAGGATTTGTTCCGAACTAAAACGACCCAGCCTCACTTGCAGCAGCCCCTCGGCAGGGAGGGCGAAGGCTTTTTCGGGCGGCAAGGCCCTCAGCCGCGTCTGCGCCCTCGCGAGTGGAAATTTCGAAAGAACCACCTCTTGCTAATTGGCGGCGGTGGCGGTGTAATCCAGCAGGCCTAGAGACCCCCCAGTCTGGCGACGGCCAGGCGAAATAAATAAAGCGGCCGCCTGCGTCGTCGCGTCTTCGGGTTAAGCTGCTTCAGGCATGGCCCGCGCTGCCAAAAAGCGCCGGTCTCCCTTCTCCCCAGCTTCCGCGGCTGTTTACGATTTCTCTCCGCCATTCAAGGAAAAGCAACCAAAGAAACTGAGGCGTGGCGGGCAATTCAAAACTCAGTGCAACCCGGATTACAGGCCTGTTTGCGCGGACCGGGGCGCGTCCCTTCCTGCGGGAGCGGGTGCCTACAACCGAAGAGAAATTTTCCTCCTTCCTGGCCTCGTCTAGTCCGAAATTGCTCCCCTTGTTTAGTGGTAATGACTCCCAGTTGGATTTACTATTGCAGGCCGGGAGTTGCTGCCATTGAACGCCGTGGGGCTCCCTTCAGAGCAGAGCGTCAAAGAGCAAGATCGCGCCGCCACAGCCTCGATCTGCCCGTCCGTCTTGCCGGGGACATCGTAGCAACCATTACTCTAATCTTCCTATAATAATTTTTCCGCCCCGGCTGGAAGCCAGGTAAAGGGCTAGCCCTGGGGACGGGTGGTCGTATCGTGCTCCGAAGCGTCAGATAATGGGAGCCTTTATTGATGAAGGTCGGGGCTCGCTGTTTAAATTAAAATTGAAATATAATTACCATTATTGTTTGTGGCATCCTGGTTGGAGGGAGGGGCGGGATGAGCGTAAATCTGGGAGATTCAGAAAGAGCATTGAATTGCTAAGATTTATCTTCCAATAGATCTGCCATTAAACAACGAACTGACATTTGTTCTCTTTTCTCCTCCTCCCCTGCCCTTTTTAAGGCACGTGGAATAATGAAGGTGCCAATTTATGGGTTATGCATGCCCCATACTTCTAGGAAAAGATGAACCTGGCCCCTACACACCTGGCAGAGTGTAGTTGATGTATACTTGAATGATCAAGTATAGATCATTCTTGGACTCAACTATAGATCATCTTCTGGCACTCTCCCTTTCAGCGCTACCGGTATTAATATCATTTCTGTACCGTCTGGCTGAAATGTATATTATGTGTATTAAATGTATATTTTTATCCGTATTCCCACATTCCATAATTTATAACAGTAATTGTGAGGGATGCACACAATTACGCAGAATAAACCTAATCAGGGAATATGTAGACAGACGCATTATTTGTTCAATTTACGATTTCTAAGTTTTGAAATTCTACTGATGGTACATTTTTAAAACCTAGTTATTTTCCAACTTGGTCTATATATACTAACAAAAGTTGGTGAACTATGTATATGAAATCGTTTGATAACTGTATGTCTCTCTGTGTACATAAAGTATGTTACATACACATAAACATACAGAGAGATAATGATGTTGTTGGGGATAGTGATTGCTATAGGGTTATTATAGTATTATAGTATAGATTCCAGCCATATCTATAGTGTTCCTAAGAGATGTTGTTACCGTTGGACGCCTTTTATGAGCGAAAATGAGGTGGGCAAAATATATATATATTCGTGAACGAAGTATAGAAAATTGGAAAAGAACCTACATTGCGGGTACATGATTTAATTTAAAAATGTTGAAACAACATGCTTGACCCAAGAAAGTAAAATTGAATGCTTAAATGTTTCTAAAAGTTGCATAAAGGCTAGGCAACGAGATTATTTGCCCGCCGATTTGAGCTTCTGAGAGAAGTGGTAAGAGTTTCAGAAAGATGGTACGGTATCTCTTCCGTAGAAATTTTAATCAGTGTGAAAGCTCGTCCTAATTATGCTATAAAACATCGTTAATTTAATAAGGATAATCAAGTCGCCATGAAAAGTATTAGGAAAGGCTTGCTACTTGACGCTTAGCCTTCTGAATTTCTGGCACCGCTGCTCTTTCGGGCCATACAGCTAAGGCACATCCGTCAACGCTGTTTATAAATCAAACCAATCGATTCAATTAAAGCGGTTGCAAATCGAATGCGAGCACGGCCGGGATTCTCTCGCTGGAGGGCAGGAGAGGGAGGCTATCCAGCCAACTGGCTTGCCGGAGGCAGGAGCGGGGAGACAGCGGGGAGGCAGCGCTGAAAGGCGCCGGCAACTCGCGCGGGGCGGAAAGAGCCCCGGAGCCTCTCACTCACCCGTGAAGCGGTCCTTGGTGTAGCGCCTGTTGCTCTCCATCCAGGGGAAGGTCAGCCCCGTCAGGTTGTTCACGGTGGGCACGGCAGTGGGGAGTGGCTGGGGGACGCCGCCGGCCATGGGTCTGTGTGCCGGCACTCGGATCACGCCCCCGGCCGCGTTGAGGTTATTTCCGTTCATGGCCCCGACTCCGACGTTGAGGTTGTAGGAGCCCGCCAGCGAAGCCATGCTGCAGGCGCCGCCGTTGCTGTAGCCCCCGGCGGAGGAGGACCCTCCACCGCCGGGGGCCGAGCCGTAGTGGCCACTCATGGGGTTGTAGGCACTGCTCACCACGCATCCTCCCAGGCCGTAGTCCGCCGCGTCCTGCAGCCGCGCATTGGAGATCATGCAGCTGCCTTGGTCCGGGTTATTCAGGATCTGGTCGATTCCAAAGCTAATGGGCTCGGCGTGGCTCTGGTGGAGGTGGTGCCCCCCTAAGTGATCCATGCTGGGCCGAGAGCCACCCCAAAGAGGGTGACTTTGCCCCCTCCTCCGCCACCGCCACCGCCACCTCCTCCTCCTCCTCCTCCTGATTCAGTGCTAGAAATTTTTTAAAAATACGCGCAGCTTTTCTGGTCTCGCTTCACTTGCTCCCGAAGAGGTAAAAAGACGGCCGGAAGCTGAGGAAGGAAAAGCGGGGAGAGGAGGAGGAGGAGGAGGAGGAGGAGGAGGAGGAGGAGGAGAGAGGGTGGGGAGGGGGAACATGCGCGCCCGTGGGCTCCCTCTCTCGCCTCTTTCCGAGGGCATCAATCATGTTGGCCTAAAGCCTGGCGCTGCTAGGCCCTGCTCCCCCATTGGTGGAGCCCCAAGAAGCGAGGAGGGAGAAAAAGAGACGGAGGCCAAGGAGCTTCCCCCAGCAAAACTCTAACCGGGGAGCCCGGCAGTAGCAAATCAGCCGACCACGCGCGGAAAGCAAGGTCCGGGTAGGCAGCGAAACTGTGGGCTCTCTGTTCTAATTCCCTGCGGAAACTGTTGCCTCTGAAGCGTTTGCTCCGGCGTTTTGAACCTTTGAGCGCCACGTGTGTTCGGTCCTATAAAAAAACAAAAAATAATTATTTCGTTGTAGCTGTGGTATCTTCCTTCTTTACCAATTATCTACGACTTTTCCTTTCCCTTTCCCCTTTCCCTTTCGCTTTCACTTCCCCTTTTTCTTCTCGATCCACACTGATTAGGGAAAATCCTGAAGTTTAAAAGATCATAATCACCGTCCCTGAACTTAATTTGGGCTAGAACCGCTTATCATTAAGTGTCCTCAATACTGGGCAAGAGTAGTGTGTATCCTCCATGTGAGCCTTCAATATACTGTTGACTCCTGGCTGCTGCCTAGACTGGTCCCTGCAGGATAGAGAACCATTTTCTTTTAATTGATTGAACCTTTCCAAAGCATATACAGTATTTTCAGAACGTTTTCGGGACAAATTTCTATAGAAATTGGTATGCTTTGATCATCTCAGCACTTTCCCCCCTCACCTCATTTATCTTTTAGCTAAAAGAAAAAGGGGAAAATACCCACTTAATATTATGACTCTTCGGAAGGGAGGAAATAGATATAAAAATATTAAGGAAGAAATTTCACAAAGTTATGCTGACCGTAAGAAGTACCATATTGAATGGTTTTTCTGTACAAAAATGTAACGGGCCAAAAGATTACTATACTATTTATAATCCCCATCCTCATCCACAAAGATTATGGGGGGGGGGACAAAGAGAGAAGAGGAAAGCAAATTTGGTAGCGATCTCCTATTTACATAATCCTACCAATCTCTTCTGATCTGATTAGGAGAAGCTTATGTGTCTACTCAGAGGCAGAGAGTATAAACTCTTCATTAATGACCCTGTTTCAACTACCCAACCTAATAGTCACATATGTGTTAAGTGTGGAAGTAAAATTTAATCAAGAGTGAGATGGTAGAGTGTATGATCTCCAGAAGTTACTCAGTTCTGGATAACAGGTGCAAAAATTGGAAAATCCGGAAAATCCTTTTGGTCTCCTTTGGGGTCAGCAAAATGAAGCTGTCTCAGACTTTTGGGGCTGGCTGCAAATTCAGGAATCCTCCCTTACCTTCACCCTTCCATTTTGCAAACAACGTCAGCCCTCAGCATTTGCTATCCAAGCCCCCAGAGCCCTTTTTGCTCATTAGCTGCGTGCAGTTCTATTAATAGACAGCGCTTTCCTTCGGATGCGAGTGAGCTCTGGACTCCCAGCCTGAATTGTTTGTATGGAGAGGCAAGACTTCTGAAAGGAGCAGAAGATGTTCGTGGGAAAAGGATGAAAACTAGAAAGGAAAGCAGGTGGGAGAAAGAGCTGGGCCTTGGTGTTCACTTTCCTAGTTGCTTCACTACAGTCAATGTGCAGTTTCTTTCAGTATGTGGTAAATTGTGCTGGAGGCAGAAAAGACCTAATAAAGCTGAAGGCAAATGAAGACCCTTGATAACAAATTATTGATACAATAATTATCAAGGATTTTCTGGAAGTGTTTTCAATACTTAAAGGTAAATTAGAATCCTCATCACCCAGAGCTGTGAATATACAGTTTAATGTGCTGCCCCTTCTACAATCAATTGCACAGACAATGTTCTTTAAGAAGCTGGTGGAAACAATTTGCATTTTACTTTTAATTTTAGATTAAAAGCATTTAAAACAGTACCCAGGAAGATCCTTTCCTATAGCTCTGATGGAAATTTGGTCTATGTTCAACAGCTGCTATGGCTACCAGAAATCATTTGACACATTTGACTTTGGGACGTTCACACACACATTCGCACATATCAATTACCCTGACATTTTATGTAGATCGAATGATAGATTATCAAACAATTTCAAAATCAACAAAGTAGGTCCTCCCGTAAGTACAGTATTCACCCATGTTTGTTCAAGTTTCCCCCACCGGTTTCAACCACTCATGAACCTTCAAGTGAGTGAACACGAGCCAAAATTCCTGACATTGTAATTTGAAGTGACATACGCATAATATTTGCTTTTAAAATGAAGGAGGGCAAAGTAGGTCTGTTTTATTTTCAAAATCAGTTGAGACATACACAGTATAGGCACTGAATCATTTTCTATAATTGGATGAGAGAAAATCCTTGTCTGGGTTTACTGATGTTCAGAGTTCAGAGCACTTTGCTTAGTTGGGTGCATTACAGGGTGGAGGGGTTCGTTGCAACCATAACTCTCTTCCTGTGGCTATTTTGTCACCTCTATTTTTACTTCTTTATATCATAAGGTTGCAGTAGCTTCCTTTTTCATTTGTTTGGAATCACTTTCCCTTAGGAAATTGGTGGCAAGTTTTTGAAATCTATGAATTGATATACAGCTATGTGACATTAATTAATTGGTTTGGAGGGTAGGGGAGGTAAGCAGGACAGAAAATTCAGGTAATTTGAATCAAAATATTTTTGACTACATCTTTCTCAATCCCGTAGAACTGCGCCATGCCTGAATATTGTTTAGAATAATAATAATAGCACTAATTATAATTAAAGCAAGTAAGATTTAACAGAGTTGACAAAGTGACTAAAAAAATTCTAGTTGATCCAAAATTCTATATTCAGAGGCATCTGCAATTGCTGGAACATAATTGGCACCAAATTCCCAAGTGGGGTAGCTCAACTTTAGCACCGCTTCAGCAAGGCAGACCAGACGGAAGGTACAGATTTGACTTGAGCCCAAGAGATTCCCCCATCACTCACATGGGTTCATTAGTGCCTTTGTAGAACTGTACGTTTAAATTAAAAAGTATTTATACAATGTGCCTTATTTAGTCTGGAGGAATTTTTACCATCTTTAATAGAGTTAAAGACTAGGTTTGATATTGGCAGGATTGGGACTCAAATGTCTGACAAACCTCTCATCTTTTCAGTCCAACTAATTTTTAAAAGCAACTCATGCCTTCCTCTCAAATTATAATTATATTACTGTGTTTGTTGTTTGTTTGTTATGGAAAACAAGGACAAAATTCCCAATGAGTTTAATTCCAAATGTTTGTTACAAACTAAATGCCTTTTTTGTGGTGTTGGTAGTAAAAATACAACTTTCCTTGCGAATATATTCCCATGGTTCTCTATATGAAGTCTCACTATTATTCAGCAGGGTTATCAGTATCAGTATGCTCTTCAATACCAACACTTCCAAAACTGTTCTTTTCTGCAGCAATGTTTAAAACAAGCCATAGATACTTCTACAATGAATACACACATCTGAATTAACTTTTAATTCTTTTGTTTTTGTAAACGATGTGTTCAGCATTAGTCAGAAAGGTGGTGGTGATGAATGGAGGAAGTTTCAGTTCAACACATCAACACATGAGGTTTTGTTTTGAGCACACAGCATGCTCGCTCTGAGCTCCTTCCTTCTCCCAATCTTTCTTGCCAAAGAACTTTTGGCTGACTTAAAATTGACCAGATGCTGCCGTAGTTTCAAGAAATTTCAGATAAAATGACTTTATAAAAAACAGTGCTAAATTAGCATGTCAAGAAGTTTATGATGGAAAAGATTAAATTGCTTTAATAATCAGAATATTAGAGTGGCGCAAGCACAGCCTTTCTGATTAGGACTGAGGAGAGAACAATGTTTTTTCTCTTCTGCAACTGTGTGTGTTTGGGGGGGGCATGGAGGAAGCATATTGTAAGTTTGAAAAGCAGAAAGTAAATAGATCATCTCAGCAACCAGGAGCAAGGTTGAGTGCCATGTGTAGGACATGCTTTTGGCACTCAAATTATCTGTCATTATACAATACAATTGTGCCTGTATTTGATATACGTGTGCAAATAATCCCAGTACGATAGCATTTTCACCTTTGCTGGGGAGATGCCCAGTTTACAAGAGCTGCTTTCATTCCATTTCTATTTCATCTTCAGTTAAGAATTGAGAAGTGGGGAAAGTTGCTTGGTAAGAGTTTCCCAGCTGGACTTTGGGTTTCAGAAGTCTGAAAACCATTGAGTTGAGATGGTGACCTCTTTTATTTTTGAAGAATGGTTATAGTGGTTCATTTTTCAAACTATTTTGAAACCAGCTAGAGAGTACAGATGGACATAAATCCCTTGCAGTGAGTCTTAATAATATTAAAAGAATGCACATTTATTCGTTTTCTGCTGTGGAAACAACTTTTCCATCGCTTCACTTGGTCAGAGCAGCCTATCCAAGGGACACGAGTTCAAGGTACAGTCAACGGGAGCCCAGATATAGCCCAGATATTACAATACTGTCAATTGTTCACCCAGTAAACGGGCGAACACTTTGGACTCGTTCCTTTGGACGAGTGCTCATCCAACGGAAGGCTCTTTCGAAAGAGCGCCAGGGAATTCGGTGGCATTTTCTTCCGAGTACATGAGTTCAGGGTGGTGAAGTGTCATGCTGTTCCCCCGGATCATACCGCAAGTGGGAAAACTCCAGTGGTATAATACATTGCATACTGAAGACTGGTGGTTTTTGTTTTAAACTCTTC